CCCCCCGTCCTTGTCACAGCTAGTCACATTTGTGAGACGCCCCCCCCCCCTAGTGTGACGTCACAATTTGCAGAATTACAGTATAGAAACTATTGTTTTTTCACTTAAATTACTTTAACAAAAAAATATTAATGTCAAATCAAACAATTAACTTAATATAAAACATTAATACATTTATGTTTCGTATTTTAACACAGATTAATTATTAGTTTTTGAAATGTGACATCACAAAGTTTTGGATCCATCCCTCCCCCTTGTCACACAATGTCACACTGCGTCGACCCCCTCCCTCCCCCTTAAGTTGTGACGTAATTTATGGATGGCCCCTAATGTATACTTGTGTACTTTTTGCGAAATAAAGATTTTTATTATTAGACTAGCTTTTTTGAGGGGGGAAAATCATCTAATGTCATTTCCCGCCCGGGTCAGGGTGAGCCGCGAGAGGGAGTGTCAGACTCTTACTGACTAAAAACCACCCCGTTCCTACTCCTGCACTTCGAGCCGGAGCCCCGGCAACCCGTTAAGTATTCCGCGGCTCCGTATCGGCAACAGCCCTGTTGGGCCCCATGTCTGATGGCTCCTCGAGGCGCGCACGGAATTACTAGACTAGCTGACCCGGCGAATTTCGTACCGCCTAAAATTTTTTTCTCACCTTCTAAACTTTCCCTGGCCTTTCACGAACATTTCGAGACCAAAACTAGTCAATTCGGTTCACCCTGTCTCGCGTTTTTTTAGCAAGACTTACGTATGAAGATTACTTTTTATTTAATTACTACTAAAATACCAATGGGTATGTCCATTTATCGGGCACAAGCAGATACGATACGATAATCGTAACGAGTACGCGTTCGGCGCTCTGATTGGTTGCTTCATTGGTGCCGGCCAATCAGAGCGCCGAACGCGTACTCGTTTCGACTACTTTAAACGTAAAACAAACTCGTACTAAGGCCTCAGAATTATCAGAACCAAACATATTAATGTAGTTCAAAAGTATCCTTTAGCATTTTCATACTATTTCGTTGGATCAACGTTCATGCATTGTCATAAACAAAATATACGTTTTTATCATTCGCATACACATAACATATCATAAACAAGCACACCTCAAAAGACTATAAAACAAGGTATTCAAAATTAACTTCCATTCAAAGTCTTGAGACTGTACAAATCACGAAAAGTTAGCAAATGAAAACCATCATTGAAAACGAAATCAATATACATATTATTATAATAAAAAAAATGTTTTTACCAAAAGAGCAGAAAGTAACGAATTTTATCGTGCAACCTAACGTGACAGTAGCTACTATACATAACTTCACGCCTTTTATCCCCGAAGGGGTAGCCGTGGTGCACATTACAGCAGTTAATGCCACTGTACTATGTAACGCCCATTTTTCACTATTTTATGTTATGAGTCCCATGTAATAGGAAGTGAGCCGATTGCCATACACCGGGGTCATTTTCAGACTTCGTGCTACTAGAGATTTTAAAAAAAACCCAGTAATAGTTTGCTTGACCCGGGAATCGAACACGAACTCCTTACCCGGCAGTCTCACTTGCGACCACTCGACCAATGAGACAGTAGCAACTACTACACGTAATTAAACTCAAACTCAATGATTTTTACGGATGACTGCATATTGTAAGAAAACATTATTATAACAATGAAATTGATAACGCTAGAAAGGCGGCCGTTATCAGTATAGAGATAAACGGGACGTTATACAACCATTTTCTAAATGTTTACATTCACGGGAAAATAATTATGAATCACAGAATCATGCGTGGTTTAGAGTTTTAGTGGATATTGTTACTTGTAGATTATTCAAGAATGGTTACTTAATATTCGTTATATATATCAAATGATCCTTTATGGCTTTTCATAGCATCACGGGTGTGGATCAAAAAGGTTTATACCTTTTTTTTAGAGATAAAGTACGGCTGGGTAATCGGGTGATGTGTATTGTGTTGTGACACGGAAAATGTTTCCCAATAAGTAAATAAAAGTAAAACATGGATATTTTATGGGATAAACCGGTTAAGGAGCAGACAGATCACCTTATGGTAAGCAAACGGCGTCTTTCATGGACACCTAGAACACCAGTGGCGTTAGAAGTGCGTTGCCGACCTTTTTGGGGATTAGGAATTTGAGGATTGATTCAGGGATTAGGGAGATTAGGGAGGGGGGGGCGGGTAATTGGGCCTTCGGTAACCTCACTCACAACGAAAGTGTTTATATATATAATTATAAGTTTATATATATGACGAAGAAGGTAATATGCATTTACGTTAAACGTTAACGTCGAGTGTTCATTAATATTTTCTCAGGGAGAAACCGTGATATCATTTTGGATGCCATACATTCGTATGCCTTATATTCATAAGAAGTAACAATATCCCCCCACTCTTATTCAGAACGAAAGAGCAAACACTATCGATACTTTGAAGAGCTAAGCGAAGATGAAAGATTTTTAATGAGCGTTTGAAATGGCAAGATGACAAAGCTTCGACATCATAAAATCATCAGAATACCTTTCTTTTTGCCGGGCACACTCTTTACTCGCCCATTGGCTGAAAAACAAACAAAATTATAGTTGTCAACACTCTAACGTACCAAGTATCGTATGATGTTGCTTAGAAAATTTCTCTTTCATTTTAATAGACCAAATCTTTAATTTCGTACCGATTTTCTGTTCATTGTTCGGTGAGCGGGGAATTTTTGATGGAGCTGTCTCATGTTGTATGAACCTTAGTGTTTGTTCTTTGGCTGAAAGTACTTCTGGTTCAGTAGAAGAATCTTCTATCTTCTCTTTTTCTTCTATTTTTTCTTCTTCCTTCTCTGTTACTGGAGATTCGGGTTCATTGATAACTTCTTCAGTTCTTTCGGGCGTGGAGCAGGGAGCTTCGGACATGTTGGGTGAGTATGGTGAGTCGACTGGACCGTTTTCCTCATTCGCCTTGTCTGAGACGTTGTTTTGATATATCGTGTCCTGGTCCGACTCTGTTGTGAAGTCAGACCTGTCGCTCTTTGGACTTGTTACGTTGGTCAACTGTAATAGTAAAAATCCTTTATTATTCAACCTTATTGAGCAATACACCAAAGCTTATTGAAAGTCGTCAACGATACCACCAATCCAACTTGCGCAAAACCCCACAAACTTGCGCAAACGATTGCGCAAATTAATTACACATTGAAATGTATTTAATATTTAAATAAAAGTAATGAAATAGTTTGAAGTAACTTATCAACTACATTATTTTGTAACTTATTAACTACAGTCTAAAATAGAAGAGAATTAACAAGTAACTACATAAAAACTGTCAACCGCAGGTTCTGTGTATAGAAAGAACAAACAAAAATTAATTTACCGTAAAACTGGAGTCTTCATCAGAGTCGGCATCTAGATCCACCATCATCTTCTCAATAAGTCGTTCCATGGTGGTCTCGCTGGTGGATGCAGAGGGGCTCGCGTGCTCACGACCGCGCTTACTTCTCTTTACCACCTACAAAAATAACATATTAAATAAACATAGAAAATATTATATTATCTTAATGTTATAGAACTAAAGTAATCTAAAACCCGGGTTAGTTTAATATTATAATGCTGAATTTAATATAATATAAAAGACATGATCTAAATACATTTCTCGGAACGGATCTAACTCATCCCGCGTGTTGAAATTGGGTTGATTGTTTAAATCACGGTTTAAAACAAAATATCGACTGACACAATTCACACGGCGCATGGGATTTGTATGTAAATCTGACTCGACAGACCGTATCATTGTTTTACGTCAACTAATAAACATGATTGTTTTTTTCACCTCTACAATATATTGGAACGTTTTACAAAACCTCTTCTTAGGTATACCATTATTTTGTGCAACGTAATGCGAACCTGATTTTCCCGTTGTAAACGATATTAATAAACTTCTAATATCTTTTTGAAATAAGAAATTTATTTTTCTTCTAAACTCTAGGACAAGGAATTTCCCGATGTGGGAGGAATAGGTGCATTTAAAAACATCATACATCACACTGAGAACTGAAGCAGAATTTGGAGTTCATATACAGATTATTCTTTGCGTTCAGTAATTTTCAGAAAGAAGTCAAAATCAACAATTTGTTAGAAAACTTACCAAAACTTCTTCATTATTGCTGACATGGGTGCTGTTGTTATTGCCATAATGGTGTGAGTGTCGTCGGAAGCACATGGTGAACTCGAAGAGTGAATGTAGCGCGGACGCCCAGGACTGGCGCGGCTGGCCACTACTAGTGCGCGCGCGACTCAATCTGTTGCCCTGGTACTTTAGTGTGCGGAGATAGCGACGGTGACTTTGTATGTACATCACCTAGAATTTAGATTATAAGTTCGCAATTATTATAGGTTTGTAGATGGAAATGAATTTTAAAAATTTTCTTTCACGAATTTTGTCAACTAATATTAGTTTAATCATTACAGCTGTAGAGATTTGAGCTTTAACATTTGGGTTTTCATTATGCTCTATTTAAATAAAGGTTTAGGTAGGAACTTAACAGCCTGTAATAATCCAGATATTGTTTTATTGGTCCCCATCAACTAAGAGTAAACCTACAGTCCAAGTTTTAAAACTATAGTACCTAATTCATAGATGCTAATGTAACTAATGTGAATTTTGACGACTCTGTGCGATATTGTCTCTGAATTTAAATAAATACCTCCTTTAAATAAATAAAAAAAATATCATTATTTGCCCTAAAAATACCTATATGTCTCTAATTGAAACTAACGTTCGTTTTTAACTACAATCCTAATCACAATTTTAATTATTACTTACCACATCGGCAGATCTCAGCGGCGGTTTCCCCATAACAAGATTGATGAGTGATATAGACTCCCGGGTGATTCGCAACGCCACTATGAGTGCTAGGAAGAACACCCATGGTAGAGGCCGCACTAACTCTGGTTGGGGACGCTCGTCCTGATCCACTGGAAGTAAGAGACATAGAGGAGATTAGAACGGTTTTAGGAAGACCCTTTTCGTCATCATTATCATATCAGTCACAAGACTGTCTAGTGTCTAATGCTGACCATAGGAGTACCGCAATGACGTTACCTCGCCTCAATTTCGTACTATAATTAATATTAAAAAACAAACCAAGTTATGAATTTTGATTATTATAACTTTTGTGAGACATAGGTACTAAATTAATTATTATGTTGAGTAAGCCTGAGTAAGTCGAAAAACATAATAATTAATTTTAATTGTAGATAGAAAATGGACGTTTATATTTATGGTAGTGGACCCTGGTTGTTGGCAGTTGGTTGCTGCATCGTTTTCGAAGGGGAAGTGTCTAACCGAAAATAATGGCACAATTAAACAGTTCGCTACATGGTCGGCAACGCATTAGTGATGACTGTGGTGTTCCAGGTGTACTTGCGTAATGCTAACTGCTTACCATCAGGTAATCCGTAAGCTTTGTTGCGACCAAAAAAGGGAATCCCTTTTTCAACCGACTTTAAAAAAAGGACGAGGTTCTCAATTCGACTGTCTTTTAGTTTTCTCTTATTGATAAAGTAAAACAGATCAGTTAACTATTGACAACCGACAAAATTGACTTTTTATCATGTCAACAGTAGAGACAACAGTCATATCACAAAATTAAGCCTTGTTTCGCACAGGCTTAGCTCAATCTCGGCTTAATTCGTAATTCAAGCGTTGTAATCAGCAGACGAACATTATAACGCGCATGATTCACACACACAGATAATGTGATAGATACAATTATTTAACAACAACATTCATGATAACTTTATCAAGGCGGAGTAGAAAAAAGAGAGCAATAATTTGCTTCTAGCGTTTTGTTATTTGTCTATTTTAAAAGTTTTGTTGATCACGTGTTGAATTGTTTTATATCTCTTTTCTTCTTTTATTGTTTGTCATGTATATTGTCGCACGAATATTGAGGAAGTAAGGATATTATCCTTGGAAGGTGGAATGTATTTGTTTGTTTTTGTTAATTTGTTTATGTAAAGTACGGCCTACTCACATTTCATTCACGAGTTGTTTGAAAAGGCTCAACTAATTTCAAACCATACCGGGGCTCATAAACATGAGTAAACCTCATATTAGAAAAAATAGTAGGAAAATATTGTTAACGACACTTGCAAATAAATACCTATGTTTTTTCAGTTTTCACAATTACATTTCATGCGTATTTATGAACAATCCACGTGCATTGTTTAAAAACCCATATTATACAATATTAGTCATTGTAAAACTAGATTTAACGTGAGATTAGTGTGGACCGTCAGATTGTAATCAAGGTTAACTAATGCTTTTGTTTGTACAGCTACATAGGTAACAGTATAAACTGTCTAATGAAACAAACAACAAAACTTCAATTTGTCAGTAATTACCTAACAACATAGTTCTATGAACATTCTATAGTTTATTTCTTTAGTATTGAACACTGAAACGACCAATTTATTTCTGTTTTAGAAAAACAACCTTCTTGACTTCCCATAAAATCTAGTTTTCCATACCCAAGAAGTGGCACAACACCACTGTCTTTAGACTTCTTTGAAAAGGAGATAGATGCATTTTCAAACATTCACAATTATAGTCACAACACAAGTAATTGGAATAATTACGTGTCCCTTCGTCCAGCATACTCACCATGGAATCCTGATATTTCATGAATGTCAAAAAACTGTTCTGAAATAGTGCTAAATAGTGCCCAAAGGAAAAAAATAGTGCTCTTGTACTTGCGAAGTTATAGCCATAGTTCGATGAGTATGCTGGACGAAGGTTTCGCCCAGCATACTCACCTCCGTCCGGAGAATCTGTATACGCTTCAAACATAATTCATACTTCAAAAAATAGTTCCCAAATAGTGCCAAACGGTGCCCAAAAAGAAAAAACAGTGCTCGAATAACTTCGGAGTTATAGGCTTCGTTCAGTGAGTATGCTGGGCGTAGGTTCTACGCCCAGCATACTCACCTCAGTGCGCGAATATCGAACGAGCTATAGGTACAATTTACGTCTCAAAAAATTGTGCTTGAAATAGTGCCCAATATCAGTCCAATTTTTGCTTGACTTTTGACCTAGAAAACCATTAAATTTGATTGTAAACTTCTACATACATTACATTGAGTACAGTCGAATACAATATTATTAACTTTCTTTCTAACAATTTTTGTCTTGTGTAAATTATTAATTGTCTATGTAAGGGAGTATTTACTTTAGAATCGCAATATTATTAATTACACATTATTTTAATAATACTTTATAATAATATGATTAAGCCTTCGCGCGTCGCATGGGACCCCGGTAGCTAGGAACAATGATTTTATATATTTTGTCTAGATCACGGCGCTTGAAGGATTAAGATATCAAATGAAGTAAATCATGCATGAAAAATAAAGTTGCTGTTATTAATGCTTACATTACAACTGACAAAATTATTCAAAATAATCATTTTCCGGATCAAGGACGGTACCACAACGTTTACGGAATTGACCTGTATTCCTCATGTGATAAAGTTCAATATAGTGTGGCAGTAATGGATGCACGTACGGTCAATAGGTATGGGGCTTACGACGCGCGGCGCCCGCGACGCAAATGAATATGTTTATGTTTAAATACTAGATGGCGCTGCCCTAACATCTTACGATTATTAGACAAGACTGATCTGTATTTTGAAGGTGATAAGGGTCCATTTTGTGTCACAAAGCGACGCGCGGCGCCCGCGACGC